CGCCCGCGGAAGATGACGGCGGCAAGGGCCCCGTGGCGGACGTCGCGGCGGCGCTGCCGCGGCGCACGCGCAAGTCTGTGTTTGCGCTGCTGCAGCGGATGTACGGGGAGGGGCGCGGCAAGGTGCGGCACGCGGGCGGACCAGGCAAACAGCAATGCAGCAGTGCCGTGCCTGCCCCTGCGTGTTCTCGCCCCAACCTGGATCGCTCGCGCCCTTGCTGCCCTTGCTTGCACTTGCATGTTCTTGCTCACCCGCCTGCGCCCCCCGATTCCCCTCCTATTTCGCCCCCTTTGGCTGCAATATGCTATCCCATCCCTGGTGGTACACAACACTGGCCCCCAACAGGGTGCTTGGAGCCCCGAGGAGGATGCCCACCTGCGCCGCGAGGTCGGGGCCAAGGGCAAGCGCTGGAAGGAGATCGGTGCTGCCATCGGGCGCTCCGGGGAGCAGTGCCGCGACAGGTGGCGCAAGATTGGGCTGGGGGACGCGAGGGTCACGGGTGAGGGCGCGCCTGGCGCGCGCACGCGCTCACGCGGCGGCATGGTGCGCGGGAGCAGGGGAGCATGGCCGGGACCGCTGGCACACACACCTGCTCGTGGCGACGGCCGCACTCGCTGCAAGAGCAGCGAGTACGCGCCCTTGCGCCGCGTGCGCTCCTCAGCGCGCGTCTGGCCGTCTTGCCGCGCAGCGCAGCTCCTGTACGCCTCCATGGCGCTCGCCGCTGGGGGTTCCTGATCCCAGCGCACGCGACTCTCCGAATGCAATCACATGCACAACACTTGACAAAATCCCCAGGCACCTGGAGCGACGAGGAGCGGCAGCGGCTGGAGGCATTGGTCATGGAGTACCTGCTGCTGGGCGGCGGCGGCAGCGGCGGCAAGCGGCCCAACATCAAGACAGGCGGCCACCGCCCGGACGGGCGCCAGGTCAGCCGGCCTGGGGCGGCTTCCGCAGCGACGGCGGGCCGCGGCGTGTGGGGCGCTTGGGCACGGCAGGCAGCCGGGCTGTTTAGGGTCGGATTGGTTGGGGGAGCTCACGGCCCACCAGCCGCGCCCGCTCAGCTGCTGGCCCCAGCCTCAGCACCTTGCCCCCCTCCGCGTGTGCGCCCTATTCCATGGCGTTCTTTTGCTCACTCCTGCCACGACCAGTGCCGCCCGGTTCTTCCCGCACCACTCATCCACCACCCATCGCCCCTCACTCCTCACTTACCGTCAGCCATCACCCCCCC